AGCCATGAAATTAAAAGACGCCTGCTTCTTGGGAGGAAAGCGATGACAAACCTTGACAGCATCTTAAAAAGCAAAGACATCACGTAGCCAACAAAAGTCCGAATGGCCATCTCATGAGAAGAGAAGACTCCTTGGAAAAGACCTTGATTTTGGGAAAGTGTGAAGGCAAGAGGAGAAGGGGACGACAGAGGATGAGATGGTTGGACAGTGTCATCGAAGCAACCAACATGAATTTGACACAACTCCGGGAGGCAGTGGAAGATAGAAGGCCTGGCGTGCTCTGGTCCATGGGGTCATGAAGAGTCGGATACGACTAAACGACAACGACAGAGTATTGCGTAGAGTTCTGGTTGCCGCACCTAAAAAAAGAAATCGTGGAACTGGAAAAGGTGTGGAAGGGAGCAACTAAAATGATTCCTGGGCTGGGGTACCTCCCTTATGAGGAAAGGCTACAGCGTTTGGGCCTCTTTAGTCTAGAGAAAAGGCACCTGAGGGGGGACCCGATTGAGACGTATAAATTTATGCAGAGGATGGATAAAGTAAATGGAGGGAAGCTCTTTTCCCTTTCATGTAATACCAGAACCAGGGGACATCCACTCCATTTGAATGTTAGGAGAGTGAGAACAGACAAAAGAAAATATTTCCTGACCTAGCATGTTCTTAGTCTGTGGAACTCCTTGCCACAGAATGTGGTGATGGCATCTGCCCTAGATGTCGTTAAAAGAGGATTGGCCTGATTCCTGGAGGAAAAGTCCATCACAGATTACAAGCCATGATGAGGATGTATAATCTCCAGGCTTAAAAGGAAGGTACCTCAAAATGCCAGATACAGGGGTTGGGTATCAGGAGATAGGTATCTAGTTGTTTCGTGTGCTCCCAGAGGCATCTGGTGGGGCCACTGTGAGATACAGGAAGCTGGACTAGATGGGCCCTTGGCCTGATCCAGCAAGGCTCTTCTTATGTTCTAAGACTTGATTTAAAGAATGACAGAAATAAGGAGAGTCGTGTTCCACAAACCGGATGTGTACATGTTCTTATTAAAAATCTAATTACTGTATCTTAAAAGTACACAAATTTTTTTCAGGATCTCCACTGATGCTAGGTATTCTAAGGTGAGTAAATGGGTACAAGTCTAAGAGCCATAAAAACAACACAAAATAGAATCTCAGTACTTTTAAGCATAGCAATATAATTATCTGTAGGTAATGAAATATATTGCTGCAAAACAATACTTACCAAAACCATGTGTGCTATGAGATTTCCTCCAAGAGCTCCAAAAGTGTAATAAACTAGTGCCTACAACAGGAAGATATATGTTGTTAATTCCACCATTTTTCACTGCCATGTGAAACAGAAATACACAGATGGGAAAATCAGTAAAACTGATCTACCTTAGCCTGACTGGAACCAACACCAAGGCCAGAGGCATAGAGAAATCCAAGAGCCTGAAATAGAAACAGACACGTTTGCATGCATAAATTTCGAGACAAGTTTAATTACAATCACAACCTGCTTTAACAAGATTACTGTATCGCTAAGCAACTTTCAGAAAGGCGCAGTCTCCTCTATTCAGAGGCTGTCCATACTATTTTAGATGTTGGAAAATCATGGTTCAAAATCATACAAAGAAAGTTAATTTCTATAGCTGGAAATCAAATAATTAATCCGCTGTACAGATAGGGAGACTATAGATAAGGTGATTATTTGCTGCCCTATAAAAAGGCTTAAATTGTGCTTTGTGATGGCTGCCAGTTACTACTGTACACAATGAAGTTTTTGGCCTACACTGCCCATCAGTTCTGGCCAGTGTAGCCAACTGGGAGGGATTCTGGTGACTGTAGTCTAAAAAAGAGCCACACTGCCCACCCAGGCTGAAACAAATTAAACATTGCAAACACAAATATTACACAAGTTATATACTACTGGCACAGAAGAGTCATTTAAGATATACATACTGTCTGCCCTTTAGGAGAACCTTCTTCAGTCAGTCTCTCAAAGAGCTCTTTAGCTGACTGAATGTTTTGCTTCAGGTAGTCCCCAAACAACATAGCATAAGATACTTTCTCCATTGCCTTTGTATGATTCATATCAGCTGCTCTCAGGAGATATTGATAGGCTCTTAAAGAAAAGAGAAAAATGCATATATACACTCAGTTATTATTTTGAGCAAACAGAAAATGTTTCTTGAGCAAAACTAAGACAATTCCCTTCATATTGAGAGACTCTTCCCATCCTGCTTATAACTTTTTTGAACTGTTACCGTCTGGCAGAAGATATAGAACAATTAAGACTCGGACCACACGTTTTCTAAATAGTTTTTATCCTAGAGCTATAATTGCAATTAATAATGAGCTTAAAGACCACCAGTAGTGAATAATTAGTTGGACTGTGTTACTTGGCCTGAGGTGTAGATGTTTGTATTTTTAGTGGGGGACTTCTAGTGGGTGGGGAGTGTTTGGGGAATGTTATGTGTGTGCATGTGTCTGGTCTCTGGGTGTCTGTGAATTTCGTTGTATGGTATACTGTGTATATACTTACAATGACAATAAATTATTATTATTATTAATTATTTTCAGGGAAAGATACTAAACTATTTAGTTCTATGTCTCTCAAATAAAATGGGTAGGATCCTGCAGAAGAAATGCAGCGTATAACAGCCTACTGGCATAGAGCTCCATATGATCTCTGGGTTGAAGTTTCACAAACTGCACATCAAGTTTGGAAATGATTATCAAAATCCTTGAGTACTGAATTCTGACACATAATCAATATTTCCCTAAAAAGGAAATATTATGTAAAGTAGCTAGGTGAAATTTGGAATTATCTTTCATCATTTATTCTGTATATAGCATCTAGATATCAGGACTCCAAATCTGCTGCATTCAGTTCTGGAGGTAGCAACAAGCTATTATGACTAACGGTTATTAATACTAGAGGTAATAGCCTTTTATTCCATGAAGCTTTGACAGAATGTCTGAAAAATGGCACAAACTCACTCTTTCTTTTGGGCTTTTTTACTGCTCTCATTAAGGATTTTCATCCCAGTTTGGTAAACATCCTCTGCCTCTTGCATTTGCCTTCTCTTATTAGACTGTTCTTCAGCTAGTAAAATAAAAATAGAGGAATGCAATTAATATTTCAAAGACCAAGGTAACACTCAGATTGTTCTCAGATGAAATATTTTGGTTACTACAGCATGTCATAACACTACACATTTCACACTGCTTTAACAAACGGTGTCTTGCATTTCTTCTTTTGCACTAAACAAATAAAACCAACCACAAACTAGAAACAGTGAAAACTTTATGCTGCTCAGAGTCTGGTGATTGTACTTCTCAGTAAAACTCACTTTCCTATGCTTTAACAAATACATTTCTTTTTTTTCTCAGCAAAGTAACATTGATTACCAGTAAGAACTAAGATCTGAGTGTGGGAAGTGGAAGCTACACATTTTACAAAGCGACGTGTAAATAAATTAAATGTGGAATAAGGAATTTTGAGTTTAATTGTTATATATAGAGGACAGGAACACTTCTACATCTCAGGTTAGGCCAAACAGTTAAGGCCAAACTATATATGACTATCAATTTCAGGACACCCATTAGGACAGGAACACTTCTACATCTCAGGTTAAGTTTATAGTCAGTTAAGGCCATACTACATATGACTATCAATTTCAGGACTCCCATCCAAATGTTTCTACAAACACAACTTATCATGCAACCCAAGAATACAACATCTCAGGTCAGCTTCATACTTACTTTCACAGAAGCCCCACTTTTGGTCACTTTTGTAATCATAGGTTGTTGCACACCAGAGTCTGCTGTCTTCCCTTCCATCTACAGTACATTCAAAGTATTCCTTCTCCAGAAAAAGAAAGGGGAAGTGGCATGGCTCTCCATCTGCAGTTCCTCCAATGGCTGTCAAAACTACAAAGACCCCCAAAAGAAAATAAAAACCAACAAACTGAACATGCAGGATTTAACACACACTGAAAACTGTCTACTCTTACTAAAATTTTGTTTTTTCTGTTTTCTTAAGTAGAACCTGTAAAAATAAACCTTTTCCTTCTTAAATTTATATTTATAAACTAATTTTACCTCATTAAAAATCAACAAGATCCAGAAAGTCCAGAAAATTACACAATTCACACAATTATGTATGATCAGTCTGAGTGTTAGCAATCATAATCTTGCCAGAAGAATACATGTGTGCAAAGTTGTTTATACTACATTTAGTTTCCATTGAATAATGATCTACTGAAACCAGACATCTCTGAACTCAAATTCATTTGTGTACTTGCAGATGCATGCATAGCATGCATACTTCCAATTACTAACATTAATTTTATGATGTCATTTAATACATGAACTGAATAAACACTGCAAATAGAAATTTTCTGATATAGTTACTTTTTTGAGCTGCTCTGTGCTGAAATTTGATGATACAGGTAAAGACTCCCTTGCCTGCTTTAATTCATCAGTGTTTTTTTCCCTGTGAACAATTCAAGTTATGCTCCTTAATCCGAGGGGGAAACAACCTAGGGTCTTGACAAGCTTATTGCTATACTGTTTTCAGATGCAAGGCTACTCTGAAAGTTACATAAAGCTCGACGTGGCAATCGGACAGAAGTGAAAATCTGGCTGCACCTGCTGTGTCTACGATGCATGCAATAAAAGAAGACTTCTCTAGACATATTAGGCTACTTCATGGTTTAGTGACTAAGGTTCTTCCTTGCTGTAGTTTCATGATGATATGAAGCATTCCCCTTATCAAGCAACTCAGGGTTTTTTTCAAATCCAGTACATTTTCTGAAGTACATCACCTTCGCTTATACCAAACACATATTTTGCATAGATATCTGCCTGTATTGGGGAAGACATACAACCAATTTGCCATCAATGATTCATGTGTAGAAAGTTATCATCAACACATGACCAGAGTATGCTGCAATACAGGGCTAAAGATGATGCTTAGGGTGATACTGACTGTCTTTTCCCTGCATATTACAGTCCCAAATCAGGGTTATTTATTTATCACTGACACATATCCCATCCAACAAAACATTAGCTAGATTGACAGAGAGACAGATGATTGCATGCAAAGTAACTAAAGGACAGGAGAAACTCTGTACAGTACCAGGCTCAACCAGCTACACACACTTTTGCAGTTCTTAGGCTAGATCAGAGATGGTACTCAGGATCACCTGGTTTCTGTGCTTCTACCTCTTCCAGGTCCTTATTTAGTAGATTTGACAGTTCTAGAGAATCTAATTCCTTCACATTTCTTTCTTTTTCTTCCTCTTGGGTCCTGAAACTCTGTTCATCTTCAGCATGAGCTTCAGGTTCCTCAGAGTCAATGAAGATCTGACCTGCTACAACATGGGCTCCTCTTGAATGATCCTTCACCTGTTCATCAGAAGGCAATGTTGTCTACAGAATAAATGACAGGGAAATTAAACAGATAAAGCTGTTGATCACTTTTCACATGCAAAGAATTTTTAAAACATAAATGCAGCATAACTGGAGTATTCATTTGTGAATGGAATGTGCAAAAGGTCAAAAGGTAGCACCACAGAGTGAGAAAAGTATTTGAGATTTGCAAGTGATTCCACTTTTAAAAGCGTACTCTATATTAACTCTTTTGTTTCTCCCTCTCCAGATTCACTTCAACTATCCAATGATTTAGCTTAAAATGTAAAGTGTTCTTTGCTTACTGTAGCTCAATCTCCTCTCATTACATTAAACTACTCTAATTTTCAGTGTATTTTACTCTAAGATAAATTAGTCCTTCTTATATTTAAAGAAGTTCAGATCACCATTCAAATCCTGTCCCTCAGCAACTGTGGTGTTCCTATAAACATTCATGCTACATGAGACAAAATTCATATGGGAAGTACATGAACATTAATGTGGGAATTAAATGTTTCATAGTGTTTCTTTTCTATGAAAAGAGAATCACACATGAGGAGACAATGCTTACCTTTGATTCAAAAGACTCCTCCTGAGTTCCTTCATCATCTGAAAAATGAAAGAATACTTTTAAAAGCTGCTGACAAGAAAAAAATCACCTATGTGACATTAACACATTAAAACAAGTGACTCAGTCGCAGTATACAGCAAAAACAAACAAATCCTATAGAGATTAATTCTTTCACCTCAAATACATTTCTGGTATTTAAGGACTTTTGGGAACATCAATAACTGTTAACTTTATTTTCCCAGGTCTGCAGTTGTCTCATGATCATACTTGCTGTACTAGCCTTTGCACACATATCTAAAAATGTGGAGTTCAGCCTTCTCATGTGGCAGATCTCAGGAGAAAACACTTCAGAAGGCATTATCTCAATCTAAATATTAAGCACAACCTGCACCACACAATGTTAGTGCTTCTGTACTGCCCCAGATTATCAATATTTCAAATTATGAATGGGAATAAGGACCTAGATCTACAGTTCATGTGAATACAACATTGTTTAAAGGATACTTTTATAGGAAGAATGCTTGTTTCATTCCTTCCTCCACATACCACTGAAAAGATGCTTTGGAGGACTAGGGGATATTCTGCAGCAATGTAGGAGGAAGCCCTCAACAGTCGTAAAGAAACTGTGGAGATCTCCTCCTATTTTCTCAATGGAAGCCTCCAGTGGGTATAACCAATTCTGTGGCAGAAGGAACTCTTCTGTTTGTAGTACAGATGCTTTAGATCTACTCAAATTAGCAAATGACAGCACAGGTTTAAGATGAGGAATTCAATTTTTATGAAGTAACTTAAAATGTACTGTACAGTATATGCTATAGAGGTTGATTATAGAGGTTGACCACTGTAATGCGCTCTACGTGGGGCTACCTTTGAGATTGGTGCGGAAGCTTCAAATGGTGCAGAATGCAGCGGGCCAGACATCTCAGTGGGGTGAGAAAACATCAACATATCTCTCCCACCCTGGCCACCTTGCATTGGCTGCCTGTTCATTTCTGCACTGATTTTGAAGTCTTAATGATTACATAAAGGTAAAGGTTCCCCTTGACAATTTTTGTCCAGTCGTATTCGACTCTAGGGGGCGGTTCTCATCCCCGTTTCCAAGCCATAGAGCCAGCGTTTGTCCGAAGACAATCTTCCGTGGTCACATGGCCAGTGCGACTTAGACACGGAACGCTGTTCCCTTCCCACTGAGGTGGTCCCTATTTATCTACTTGCATTTGCATGCTTTCGAACCGCTAGGTTGGCGGGAGCTGGGACAAGCGACGGGCGCTCACTCCGTTGCGTGCATTCGATCTTACGACTGCTTGGTCTTCTGACCCTGCAGCACAGGCTTCTGCGGGCTAAACCGCAGCGCCACCACGTCCCTTACATATAAATGATTACATATAAAGCCCTAAATGGTTTAGGACCTAAATACCTGGCGGAACGCCTCCTCCCACCTAGATCTACTCGTATCACTTGTTCTAGCCAGGAGGGGCAATTGAGAAGCCTAACGCCGAGGGAGGCCTGCAGGGAAAAAACAAGCAGTGGCTCCCCATCTTTGGAATAATCTCCCCTCCAACATCCGCTTGGCCCCTTCGCTGGGTATTTTCAAAAGCCAACTCAAAACCTGGCTATTTAGGCAGGCCTTCCCTCTAGGCACCACTTAGTTTATCTTTTATCTCCATCTTGAATGATTGTTCATTGTTGTGAAATTGTTGTTATATGCTAACTGTTTTTATTCTATTTGATGTGAGCCGCCCAGAGTAGATATTGTCTAGATGGGCGAGATACAAGTTCAATAAATAAAACAAATTATCAATAGAAGAGTGTTTGTTCCTGCATTCATTCATACATTCTGTATTTCTTTTTGAAAAATGTTATTCTGTGAATGTATTACTTTTTCAAAGAATCTTAAGAGAAACATCAATAGTTGCATACATATATATTCTAATTTTGTGATGGGAGTAGGAATATAAGGCGATGCAAAACAAACTCTATAAAAAAGAAGAGTAGATGGCCACATGACCATGGAAGATTGTCTGCGGACAAACGCTAGCTCTATGGGTTGGAAACAGAGATAAGCACTGCCGCCTAGAGTCAGACATGACTAGACAAATTGTCAAGGGGAACCTTTACCTTTTACTTGCAAATAGCTACAAGGAAAGGAAACTGGCAATTGAGAGGGCAATGATAAAGAGTGGTTAACAAAAGAAAGGATTGGTTTTTAGAAGTGATATCAGTCATGATTCATCTTTGAAGAAGCAATATCTCAGTTTAAAAAAAACTGCTACTGTATGTTATGATGTGCACCAAACACAACACAATTAGAAGTATCCAGATTTTAAAGGGTAGGTCTACAGTATACTAATAAAAAAGCTGCCTGTGGTTTGCAACAACAAAAACAGCTGTTTTCTTCAATTATGAAAGTAGAGTGCTAAGTGTCACTAAACGGAATTTCATAAGTAAAAATTAAAAAGATTTATAAAAAGTGACCAACAGAAAAATAAATCACAGAAAAAGTATCCACTGATAAATTAGCACTGTGGTTTGAAAAAACAACAAAAAGGATGAGAAAACATTATTTTAAGATGAACCTAGCACGACACCTCAGACAATGAATGTATTTTCACTGTATTCACTACTGAAGCAAACAGTATATTTCACTCTCATTGCATCATGTCAACATCTCTCTAAAGTAACAAGATCTGTGTTATGTTGCACATACAAAAAAACCCCTCAAATATCAGGAGCAAGTGGAAATGTAATGCTTATCTAGTTGCTTGTTAGCATTTAGACAGTTTGTCTTTATTCTGTTTGGTAAAGAACCCTTAAACAGACAGTTATTCTGGCTGTTCCAGAATAACTACTTGAAGTTCTTGTTATTAATTGATTGATTGATTGATCGATCGATTGATATACTGCCCATCTGGCAGCCAGGGCCACTCTGGGCGGTTTACAACAGTAAAAACCATAAAATAACAGAAGTAATGCCTACTAACTATTACTGATTCATGGCCAGTTGGAAATTTACTGTATTCATCCAGAAACAAACACAAAGATATGTATTAATTATTCATTTTTTTAAAAAAAGTATTATTAATGAATGGCATCTATTTTCATTAATCGTTCAGAGGAAAATCGAAGCTTAGTAAGAGATTCCAGATTGTAAAACATTGAAAAGTTTGTTGGTATAGCATAAGCCCTATAACATTTCAAACCAAATTCCAATGAATTCTCAGCTACTGCAATAAAGAAAGCTACTAATAAAAAACCCAAATAGAAGCAGTCAACTTTCTTTACAGATTCTTGTATCTCAACTGGTATTCCAGCACTACAGCATTCCAAATACTGTAACAAAAAAAATCTAATGACATTTGATTGCTCTGCAGAAATATGAATTAGATGGGTAGATTTTCTTCTCGAAGTCATAATTTGTGCAAAGATAAGGCCATGCAAGGAAAAAAATGGTGAATTATTGAGCTGGGAATACTGATGACCATAGTGAACATTTTCTTTTTTTGTTTGGCTTCTTTTGGGGGTGCCTCTTTCATTTTTGCATGTTTTTTTTCACCTACTGGCATTTTTGTACATACCATGTTCCCCAGAAAATAAGACAGGGTCTTATATTAATTTTTGTTCCAAAAACACATTAGAACTTATTTTCAGGGGATGTTTACTGTTTCATGTACAACAATCTACATTCATTCAAATACAGTCATATCATCTTCTTCTGGTTGCTGCACAATGGTGGAGGACAAGGTTTCACTTAACTGGGGCTCATTTTTGGGGTAGGGCTTATATTACAAGCATCCTGAAAAATCATACTAGGGCTTATTTTCAGGTTAGGTCTTATTTTTGGGGAAACAAGGTACATAAAAGTGAAAACTGAAACTACTTTTGGTCATTGATTTGTGTTTTCCAATTCATGTTTTCTGGCACTTCAAAGGCAATTTTGTTGTTTAAAACTACTCCAAAAGAACAGAAGCAAGGCAACAGAAAATCAATTGACTCCAAAAGCAGGCAACAGGACATGAGAGGGAAAATCATCTGATCAATGAAGGCACTGGTCTTTATTATAACATTCATAGAGCAACTCATCTACCAACCAGTTCAAAAAATGGCAGAACACCAAAAGATTAGAAAGAAAATAAAAGAAAAAACAGAGTAAGTTCAGCAGCATAAACCCACTAAGACCCTATAGACATGGGCAGCACTAACTAACTAACTAACTAACTAACTAACTAACTAACTAACTAACTAACTAACTAACTAACTAACTGGAAGAAGACAGCCACTAGCTGCCAGGCACTCAGAGATACCCACTCATTAAAGCAACCAATAACAAGAGAGAAATGACTGAAAGGGAGCCTAACTAAAGCAAAAACAACCAAGCAGCCTAGTGGCACACTGACATAGCCATAAAATCCACTCCTGGTACATACACTGCTACAGAAGCAAACAAAGCAGTGCCAACCCCCCCCCCCAATTATATACACTAAATCAACCAAATAACAGTGTTTTTTAAAAAAAAAATTAAACAGGAAGCACCCAGACAAAGAGGGAAAAGCAACAAAAGGAACAAGAAAGCCACAAAAGCCATCACAGCTCACTCTCCACAAAATAAAAAGCAAACAAGCAAATAAAGGCAAAAATATAACCACATACAGACACACACAAAACCCTACCGGAATATGGGAAGGAACTCCTGTCACCTAATGACTTCTCTTTTCTTCTTTGAATCAAGAAGGTAACAGCAGCAATAATCCAAGAAAGGACCAGTTCCCCCCCCCCAAAAAAAAACCTAAGGGGGAAATATCTCCAAAGAATTCAGGATGAAAAATAAAAATTGCCCCAAGGAAGCATGCTGCCACAAGCAAGCTGCCTGGCAGGAGCAAAAATAATCCAAAGAAATGGGCATCAAAAATGGGAGTACAGACTCAGCAGGCAGGCCAACAGGACATCAGAGCTAAGAGCACAATAATGAACTTTCATGTACAGTATTCCTCTTTTGTAAACACAAGTCATTTGTATGTGTATGTTAGAGACTCTCTTTTCA